GAGTTATTCAGCTCAAGGAGCAGGAGAGGCTCGATTCTCTATCCGCAAAACGTGGAGGCAATCATTTCATGTGAAATTTAAATGCGAATGCAATAAAACCCATGATGCTGGAAAATGTAGCACCTCGATGGGTTAATGATGAAGAGATGGGGCACAGCAGCTGGGGTTCAGCTCCCACATGCACATTGAAGTGCATGGACAAGATTGTGTGTTTCAGGGCTCATGACAGTAGGGCTGCTGGGAGTGGAAGCTCCTGTAGTCAGCATCACTTTTATTAGGCTCACAGCTGGTAGGTGCTCTATTTGAAGCACTACCGTGATCAGCATCACTTTTGATAGTACTACCGTGAATAGGATCACTGAAGTTAATACTTCTATAATACCGAGTACTTCCATTGCGTAATTCCGACAAGTTTATAACTACCTGGAGGTTATTCCGGGGATCAACGCCCCCGCGGCCCGGTCCATGACCAGGCCTTCCGGTGGATCAGAGCCTGAGACATCTGCAAAATCGTGACATCATTTTCAATAAAGATATCTAGGTATTATATATGTGCCCTAGTAGTTAGTACTTCTGCTGTCAGTATAACTATTGCTTGAGTTGATGCTAACTAGAATTATGTTAGCAGCCTTACCGTTGACAGCAATGTCATCGATAGTTCTGTTTGCAGGACTACCAGCCATAGGAATACTGGTAAGGATTCTGGTGGTAATAGCATTCAGTATAACAAGAGTATTTCTAAACCTAAAATATTACTTTAAGGAAAACAAAGGTGGGGGGGAGGGAGAACGAGATCTTTAATCACACACAGCAAGAGAAAAACAATAAGTGTATATCATGTTTCTGTGTTAACTAGCAAGCTGGAGGTAGGTAATTACACTCTGGTAACAGCTCGTTCACTTGCATCACTAAAGGATTCTACCTAACTTACTACGCTCGTATTCCCCTCATGGAAGGTTCCTTGATGTTGGTGAGGGGCTCTTGATTTAGGGAATTGAATCTGTGCTCCAGTTCCCCGAATTAAGCCTGAATGCCTTCCACATCCCCCCCTGGGCGCTGTATAATCCTACGGGTTTAGCGCTTCCCCCTTGATTATAATAATAATAATACGCTCGTATTCCAAGCAAATATAGTAATGGATGCTGATTTTCTGAGGATATTCTAAGAAGACTTTTTTCGATTTTTTTCCCTCCGGTTTTTTTTTTTTAAAGTTTGTGTTCGTTAAAGGTGATTTTATTTGTGATTTTTGGTTCAGAATTTTGCTCGTGTTAAAAACTTTTGGGCGAGTGATTATTTGAGTTTTGTTTGTTAGGCTTCAAGTGGAAGTGAAGCTTTGACTTTATGGGCCAAGAACTATCAAGCCTAACAGTCCTAACGATTACTTAATCATCGTTCAGCGTCATTAGGTAACACTCCAATACATATTAATCACTCCATAGTTGACTTCGGCTCCTCAGTCATAGCTCTTGGTCAGTCAGATGGTGTCCTTATTATTATGGAGACGGGGCGGAGTGAAAAGGGCACAGTACCATTACTGGAACAATACTCAGGTAACTCCAACGTAGATTGTAACTTACGACAAAGATTGTGACCGACTTGGACCATTAACTAGTCACAGAGCAGAAGGGAATCAGGATATATGCGAGGGGGAGTGGGGAGTGTGGGGAGGGGGAGTGGTACAACGTGAGTAATGAATATTAATATTAAAGTATTGGTATAACAGTGACAGAGGTGGCCAACAATCTGTACCTGATTCTTTAGAAACACCAGGATTACTGTCTCCATCTGGCACAGTCTCACATTTGTAAGTCTTTACACGCACCATCTTCGAAGGCAGCTCCAGGGCTGACAGCACCAGGGCTGACAGCACCAGCTGAAACACTATTTTGCCTCGCTGAGTTTGTCCTGTTGGCTCTGATCTGTACTTATGTTTCAGTCCCTTGTGTATTATTGTGCTCTTTTCCAGTAATGGACAGTTTTTTTCTTGCTGCACTTACACGATTAGTCCAGATTTTCTTAAACCACCCAAAAAAATAAAAAAAAAAACTTGTGATAATAGCCATGAATATATGGTAACACTGAGGCCTGGTCACAGACCGGGCCGCGGGGGCGTTGACCCCCGGAACTCCAGGTATACACTTCTGGTAGTTTAAAATGTCTCCATTACACTGACACACACACTACACTATATCCCTTATTTTGTCTTAGAGAATTCTAGTATTCGCTAGATTGGTTGGTATAACTGAAGAGATTCACTTTATGTGTTCACGAAATCTTTACGCTAGAGCTTCACTACTACTGCTGTGTATTTTCATTTTGAATCTTTCCTTTTTTGGAAATTACAGGTGATGAGCAGAGGTGTAGGTTGAGACAATATTTATGACAAAATATGATCGGGATTACAGGACTTTTTTTTTATTTTCTATAAGTCAGTGTGCTGTGCGGCTTTAGTATGTGTAACACTTAACCAATTACGTGATTTTAACCTCATAACCCATTAATGTTTATCTTGGAGAATTAAATCTATAAAGAAGCGATGATGCAGCCAACTTATCAGTTCATTTTGGCCATCGTAAATCTCCTGATGAATTTTCAATGACCAAAAATGAATTTCCTGGATGGAAAACGTAGATTTAGAAGAAGATACAGAAGAATGGACGGGGACTCGAACTGAGGTCCATGCCGAGTAGCAGGCCCAGCGATGCCACGAGGGTTCTAAATAGGATCATTACATAACCAACACTTCTGTGACTTGATTGGTTTATCGCCACCAACTGTGACGCTGGTGTATTCTCCTGGTTTCATCCTCGTCTGTCTATTCATTGACAGTCCTTCAATATAACTTATCTTGGGTTTAGAGGTTATATAGCTTTGAGGAATATGAAAAATAGACGTTCCATGAAAACTGTGGGGGAGGTGAGTGGAGTTGAGTCATCCATCATAGCTGGTGGTGGATGATATATCCAGATCTCAGAGATGCTGCTTCTAAAATCCTAGTAGAATTCTCGTGGCTGCAGAGTAGAATGCTGGGCCTGTCACTCGTATGGACCACGTTCGAGTCCACTTCCATTCTTCTGTTTATTAATTAACTAAGAGTCGTTTATTTTGACTTAGGTTGAGATATTTGAACCATGTAAAAATATTATTAAAGGCACATTCCATACACAGTTTCAAGAGTAGGTACGATAGGGCTGTGCCAGGAACATGACGGTCAATTTCTGAAGCTAAGAGCCGGAGCCAGGAGCTAATCTCAACTGCAAACACATCTATGCGAGTTCACACACAGAGACGAACAGGATAAGCACATCCAGACTGACTCACACCTTAGCTGACAGCATCAACAGAAACAGGCGAGGCTATAGACCCAGAAACAGAAAAAAATATATGCTTTAATAGAAAACGGGAGTTCCAAAGAAGGGTGCAAACACATTCCGAATATTGATTTGAAAGACTTTTCTTTATTTTGCTGTGCTGTATAGTCCTTGTGGCTTAGCGCTTCTTTTTTGATTATAATAATAATTTATTTTGCTGTCATTCACTAACCTTTTTGTTTATATTTCTAGGATATTTGGAATTATTATTTTTGTCTTCGATTTTTGGCCTAGTTACCACTCTAGCGCTCCGGTCTCTGACCCAGCCTCCTGCTGGACCTATGGCCACGTTTGTTCAAGGCTTTTCGTCAAATCTGTGTATTATGCCGGCATCTTTTTTTTTTCAGCGCATCCTAGGCCACGGTGCCCAGGCCCGTGTAAGGCTCTCGCTTCACACGGCGTTTGTCCGGGTTCGATTCCCGGCGAGGGTAGAAACATTAGGTCTGAAACCACTCGTGGCGAAACGTTTCCTTTATTAAATGTCCTGAACTGTACATAAGTGTCTTTTTTTCTACATGAGTGAGGGGGTTTGAATTTGAGTGGGACTAGCACATGGGTAAATAGATTTGTCAGTGCTTATAGCTCGGGTAGCGCTTAAAATGGGTTGGGCAAATACTATTCTGTTAATGGGATGGATTTGTGAAGGACCTGCTTAGTATGGGCCAACAAACCTTTCTTATGTTCTAGTGGTAGTAGAAAGTAGGGAGAGTAGTTTTAGTGGCACAAGAGAAGAGTGAAAGGTGAAAGGAAGCAGTAGTAGTGGATGTAGCAATAGTAATAGTAATGGAGTGGTAGTAGTGGGGTAAATCTAAGGACAGGGAAAAGGTGCGCTGCACCCCACAAGGGGTAAGACCAGAAACACTGGGGGATTGGGGGGGGACGAAAGAAGAGAACACACTTTTTTTTCCCTTTGCCCAAGTGGAAAGTGGCACGACGGGAAATACAAAGCCTGACAGTGGTTATACTTCTACCACTTGTCCAGGTCATTCCACTTTCTGACGACTCGTTCGTGTTTTTAACATCCTGTGTGCTTGACACCAGCCTCTCAAACACACAGTGTCCACCCTGTTTGTGTGTGGTGGGAGGGGAGGAAATTGCAGGAGGATGGAGAGAATCACCTCTGTGTATAAGTGCACAAAGAGCCATTATTTATCTGTTGTGCGCAACCAGAACAATGTTGTGTTCCTGAAGTTATTACTGTTATTATAATTATAATTTTGGAATAATTGTCGTTATATTTAATAATTATAATAGCATTTATATTAAAATAAGCTTTAATAAAATATTTATAATAATATTAATATTAGTATAATTATTTTTAGTAATATCATCGTCATGAAGCGCCAAACCTGTAGGAGGCCATACAGTGCATGGAGAATGAGAGGTCATAAAGTTTAATACAAGGAAAAAAGGAGCATAGCTTCACTTCCCTCAATCAAGGGCACTTGTCATCAGGATACAGCAGTAAACTCAGGACTCGGGTGTGTCCCGTCGTAATTTAACCAGGGAACAAGAATCTTGTTGTTCCCCGCGCTGTCGTCACCAGTATTGTTCTGTACTAACAGTGTTGTGTGGTTGGTGTTGCAGGTTGAGGTGCTTGCACTAAGTGTTGCGTGGTTGGTGTTGCAGGTTGAGGTGCGTGTACCATCCTTCCTGGCTGCTGATGCAGACTACCTGGAGGGTGTCGTGGTCGCCAACTACACATCAGGTGCACCCATCACCGGCAACGTTACGGTGCGGGCAGCAGTGCGGCCTGTCGGACCCCGGGCGTACCCACATTACGGCCCTGATCCCTCAGTGGCCCAGCCTCATGCTATGGTAAGTGGTCCAGCCTCATAGTATGGTTAGTAGTCCAGGTTTATGCTAGGGTGAAGGCCAATGAAGAGCTGCTTCTGATCTACCTAGGGTAAATGGTCCAGCCTCACGCTATGGTATGTGGCCCAGCCTCACGCTAACGTAAGTGACCCAGTCTTAAGCTGTGTTAAGTGATCCATCCTCAGCCCTAGGTAGGTTGCCCAACTTCACCTTACAGTAAGTGTTTCTAGCCTCACACTATGGTGACAGCCGCCATGCTGCGGCAAGTTGCTGTGACGGTCTCTCTCTCCTGGGCCCGTGAATTACACACAACAACAGCCTGCAATAGAGAACTGTCAAATTTCAATATTAGTAACACATCAAGGCCCTACGGGTCGTTAGCTATATTTTCGTTAACAGAGTTAGTGATTATAAATTATATATATGCAAGACAAGCCATGGAGGGGGGGGGGTGGAAATCTGTAGTTTAAGTACTTTCATACTTCCTAGTGCGTCATCAGGAGCTGTGCAATGTTACAAGGGCAGCAACAGGAGAAATAGGGTAAGTTTTTTTTTCAGAGTATGGTAGCGCGTGGTATCAGGCAATATGTGACTGTCAATATCTGTCAGTCAGATATTGGTTGCGGCCACCGCGCTACCATACTCCGAAAAAAACTTACCCTATTTCTCCTGCTGTTGCCCTTCCATATTAGAAGATGCGTTTCAGTTTATTTGACAGATTCCAACAAAATTTGCACCTACGCACCCTCCCCCCCCTCCTCCCCCCCCAAAAAAAAAATCCACTTAACATGAATCGTTCATTAGAGGTTGATGATGTTCAGAATTGTTCTGGTTTAATCAGGGAGAAGTGCTAAACCCGTAAGGGTCACATAGTTCCAGGGAGGCATTCAGACTTGATTCAAGGAAGAGGAGGATAAATCTAGTTCCCCCTGGATCACGAGCCCCCCCCCCCCTCGCCACCACTGTCTCTCCCCTCTTTGGGATCAACACTCCCCTTGTTTAATGCAAAATGATGATATTTAAATCATTAAATTAAAAAAGGTGAGAAAATGTCATCATTACTGTGTGAAGAATATAAACTTTCTTGAAGAATGAGACACTTGTGCAACATTTCAGAATCTTTACTGAGGAAACGTTTCGCCAAAGAGTGGCTTCATCAGTCCAATATGAAGAACGGTAGAAAAAGGGGAGTAGTTTGAGGTGATCAGTCCCTCAGCCTGTATTCCATGTGTTCAGTCCATGGACTGAACACATGGAATACAGGCTGAGGGACTGATCACCACAAACTACTATTTTTCTACCGTTCTTCATATTGGACTAATGAAGCCACAGTTTGGCGAAACGTTTCCTCAGTAAAGATTTTCAAGTCTTCTAAGTAAGATATACCACTTTTGAAAAAACTGATGCCGAACAGACGAGGCTTTGTATAGTTATCGCAGGAAAACAGTTTTTGGTCCTGTTGGTCTGTTAAAAACTGAGCAGCGGGCAGCCGAACTTGCCAGTTCTTGTGCAAGAAAGGTATAAAATACCGACAATACGAAAGTTAAGACACATGTGCAACATCTGGATATCTTTATTGTAGACGTTTCGCCATCCAGTGGCTTTATCAATACAGATTCTAGGACATAATAGGAAGACAGTAGAACTATATACAAAAGATGAGGTAATCAGTCCCTCGGCCTTGGAGTTAGTGTTCACAGCATCGTGGTGGAGGAGAGTCTGGAGCAAAGGCAAGAAGACGCGTTTATATAGGCGTCAGTGGAAGGGACGGGCAGCAGACGAGGGCAGTCACTGGTAGGCGGGATTCCCCAGTGGAAGTAGGTCCTTCCCTATATAAACGCGTCTTCTTGCCTTTGCTCCAGACTCTCCTCCACCACGATGCTGTGAACACTAACTCCAAGGCCGAGGGACTGATTACCTCATCTTTTGTATATAGTTCTACTGTCTTCCTATTATGTCCTAGAATCTGTATTGATAAAGCCACTGGATGGCGAAACGTCTACAATAAAGATATCCAGATGTTGCACATGTGTCTTAACTTTCATATTGCCAGTTCTTACGCCGACTTTCCCCTAGTTCGCCTGGGTTTGAAAATTTGAAGCCGATCGGATAAAAGGTTCTGAAGTTATAAATGAAAGGTTTGGAGGAAGTTAATGGCAGACAAAAACACACATTATGACCAGCCTGGCCATAACCGTACGACAAATATATAATTTAAGGACTCGCTGAATTTGTGAAAATTAGAAATACCATGAAAACGCAAGTTTTGAATATTTTTTTATATATATTTTGAAGTTCAGTTCTGTTTTCAAGTTTGTATAATCTTAAAAATGTGATGTTCAGTTTACGAAATTCAAATTTAATATATTTTTTTCTATAAATAAGCAAATTGGCACCTACATGGCCCAAATTCAATATAAAAATTATTTCTAAGATACACCAGCGCATCGAGTTTGAAGCCGATCAGAAGTATTCTCTGGTTATTATGTAGAGATTAATTTATAAGAATAGGAAGTTAAAATTTTGGCAGCTGAAAGTGTTTGTCCAAGTATATGAAGGAAGTCTGGAGAAGGTGAATGTGGGAAGGCATTTTGGATTGAACTTGTCTGCTGATGGTTCTATGGGAGGTGAAATTAACCTTGGAAATGACGAATAGAAGGCGAGTGGTGCATTGAATCATCTGTGGAGACAAAAAAAAAAAAATGTGGAATGTACCGACTCTGCTGTGTGGATGTGAAATTTGGGTTTTGAAAGTTGCAGCGAGAATAAGACCTGAGTCAGTTTGAAGATTACGAGATGTAGTTACCAAGATTATTATTCAGAGGGAACTGAATGGGATATTGAGGTGATTAGCACATGAGAAAGGATGGACTAGGAGGGCGTATATATTTGGGGTGAAGAAAAGGACGGGTAGGGTTCCTTCCACACAGTTTTGGAGGGAGGGAGTAAAGGAGGTTTTGAGTGCTAGGAGCTTGGACATCCACCAAGCTTGAGTGAGCGACTTAGATTGGAGTGAGTGCAAGAGAGTGAGCAAGGTAACATTTATGAAGGTATTCAGGGAGACCTGTTAACCAGACTTAAGTCCAGGAGGTGGAACGTACTGTGCCTTCACTCTGAAGGTGAGGTGAGGATGTTCGGGTTTGGAGAGGGATCCGAACTGTAATATCAGCAGACTTTTGGCAAGACAGTGACTGAGTGATAATGAATTTGTTTTTTTTTCTTTGTCTGTCGCTCATACGATTACATAATACGTATATGGATCTCTCGCTCATTTTCATGTTTCTGTTGAGTCATGTCAATATTATATCATTCATTGTACAAGCCAAAAATTCATATTATGAAAATCCAGCTATATTATTTTACAGTCATTTTGATTTCATGTTTTTCGCAACATTTTCGGATTATTTCCAAAAATTATTTAGTCTTTTTAGTTTATTATATACTGAAGTTTAAAATATGTTGCGATCTCTCTCTCTCTCTCTCTCTCTCTCTCTCTCTCTCTCTCTCTCTCTCTCTCGTGTTCGCATCATTCTTCTGATCAAGAAGTTTCTCATGCTCCGTAAAACTTGCTCTAACACATTTCTTTTCGTAACTTCAAATTTAAGCGCTTACGAGAAAGTCTGTCAGGAAGCTTTTTAACAATCTGAGTAAATCCCTCTGTTCATTCTTCACGTTAGTCTATAATTTGTTATAAATCAGTAATTTGGACATATAAGATATAGCGGATCATAACAAGAGCTATAATAATTTAATTTTAACATATTTCTACTCTTCAAATGTTTCATCCATATAGCACTACAGATTTTCTCTAATGTCGGAGAATGTCTGCAGTGCAAGAGGGGGCGCTGCGCCCCACAGATTAGATAATCACCTTGACAGATATATCTCTGCGCTACTGGGCAAAATTAGCCAGATACACCTCAAACATCCGGGTTACCATTTCTCTCGCATTTCCCAAATTAATGTCAAAAACGAGAACATGACCTCTGTCCAAGTCATGGCTCTCTTTACCAATGTTCTTACATGTGCCACTACAAATATTTCAAGACAACCACAATCTCCCTTTACCTCTCCCTGACTTTATCACTCTAGTGGATCTCTGTGTCAACCTTAACATCGTCGAGTATCTAGATAACTGCTACAAATCTTCAATATAGCACTGGCTAGCCTTCCCTTCCCTCCACCTCTTCAGTGATGTGCTTGTTAACCTCTTCATGGAGACTTTCCAAAGGAGAAATTCAGCACCCTCGTTCTCAACACCATTTCCTGGCTAAGATACCTTGACGATATTTTGGTGTTCTCTCCCAGACGTTTTAATATCCAGGCCCACATCAACAAAATTAATGTTTCCTTTCCTCAGCGTTCTCCTGTGTGGGTCTCCCGACAGCAACAACAACAACAACCTCAGCTTTCAACCTTCGCCAACAGGATTGTCTTATTCACTTTCATTCACACCATGACACTCGCACTAAAAGAGGTGTCCTTACTGGTCCCATCTCGAGGGTTATCCACAACTCCAGTCCTAGTTTCCTTGAAGAGGAGTACACCGAATATAACACAAGCCTTCATACGTCTTCTATTTCAGTTTTTTCTTCATCTGGAACTGCAGGATTAATGAACAAGATATCTTCAATAAAAATCCCCCACGGAACATTTCACCAAACAGTTCTAAGTGCTCCTTTGTAGAATTATTGCCAGGAATATCCACCAGGTGCTGCATAAAAGCAACATCAGTACATCCACCATGTCTACATCCTGTATCGTAGACCTCACTACGAAGGGAAATCCTACACCATAATTTCACGGCAGGCGTCTACACCGCCCTCTGTGGACACTGTCGTAGAAATATGTAGGGGAAACAGGCAGACGGCTAGCTGTCCGCCTAGGTGAGCATCGAAGCGCTTACATCAGGGACGACTTAAAGAATGCCTGTGTCCTCTGCAGAAACTCCGCAGGACATTTGCAATGAGGCACAACTCGTCTGCACTGGATCCAGTGAATTC